CCCCCATTACTCTGAGATACAAAACATCCACAATCACTTCCTCTTCAGACCCCCATTACTCTGAGATACAAAACATCCACAATCACTTCCTCTTCAGACCCCCATTACTCTGAGATACAAAACATCCACAATCACTTCCTCTTCAGACCCCCATTACTCTGAGATACAAAACATCCACAATCACTACAACACCTACAAAAAAATAAAAAACAATCGCTACTCGCTAAGTTCTGCAAAGTTTTCCCAACAACGATTTACAACACGATAGAAAAACATAACAGTGTTGACTTTCTCGTAAGAACCTTCACTGTCCCACGAACATAGAAATATCCCTCCAACTCTATGTGAAGAGCCAAGACTCTAGCTCTTGGAGATGTCTAGCTTGACGAGAATATTCAGCAATATTTGCCAACTGTTTACAATAAAAAATGTTTAACGACAGACATTAATTTTCAGGAATGCAGACTACTAGTGGCCTTTTCGAATTTTTCAGATTTAATGCCATTTATGTTATTCGTCACAATGTACATAGAAACATTAATGTAGCAGTTTTCAGCAGACATAAGAGTGAATGTTTGTGTATCTCCATCCAGGTTTTCTTCCGTAATTTCTTGTGTCTAAGAAAATGTCAAAAAACTGTAAAATATCATTCTCAAACTTTAAAATAAAACTATAAAATAAAAAATGTGAAAAAAAATAAATATAGAAATAAATAAATACATACAGAAATAAATAAATACTAAATAAATACATAAATGTGGAAATAAATAAATGTGGAAAAAAATATACATATGAAAATAAAAGCATAAATCGTTTTTATTTTATTTTTACATTTCATTGTATATTTAATCAAAGGAATTAAAATAATCATAAAAAAATAATCACAACAATAAAACAAGGAATTTAAAAGCTTTTAAAATGATTTAAAATAAATTAAAACCGTTAAGAATAGAAAATTATTATACATAAAATACAGTGCAATCAGTTCGGACGTAGCACAGTGTTCATTCAGAAAATGCACAGCTAAACAGATGAGTTTTGAGTCTGGATTTAACATATTTGTATATTTAATCCTGCCGATTTCAGATCCAACCCCAATCAAACACTCCTGAAGCAGCTAATCAAGGTGTTCATGGCTACTTGATTACAGGCAGGTGTGTTGGAGCAGAGCTGGAGACCCGTGCTAAACCAGTAACTGTAAACTGTAAATGCACATGACAACACGTCAGCCTCACCTGCAGGATCTGATGAGCCACAGAGCAGTTGGTGAAGAGGGCCACCATGCATTTAATGCACTGATAGGCCCGTTTCTGATAATGGTTCTTGGAGCGCTGGATGGTGTCAAAGAGCCCGTCTCGGTCATCAGGGATGCCCTTCAAAACATTGTGGATCCTAAAGAGAGAACTGATATGAGGACACTTGCTCTTTGACATTCAGATGCTCTCATCATCACGCAGATCTCGACTCACCGGTGCGTCTGCCACGAGTCCTCAATCAGGAGGATCTGCAGCAGGAGATCCAGGTAAGGCCTCAGCTCATAGGTGTAGGAATACGCCACCTGACCGCCAGGAAGCACAGAACACACTGTAAACACTAGAGCTCGACCGATAATAAGGATTTTACTGATACTGATAGCTAGGTTGGCCCAAACTGGCCGATACCGATTAATCAACCGATAGTTTTTAAAATGGATACTGAATGAAAACTAAAATAATGCTTTACTATATAAAAAAAAAACAGTACTGAACCAGACTTTGTAAATGAAAAAATATATATATTGATCATTAAAATGTTACCAGAAGAAACTAAATAAAAAATTTATTAGTACTAGTAAATGTTGAATTAACACACTCTAATGAGGAACTATACTTCTACAGCTTTCATTCATCTTAATGTTACAAATGAACTCTTATTGTAAAGTGTTACCATTTCATTTCACCAGTCACTGGGGGACCATAGGCAGGCTAGGGGAACTCATATTAATGTTAAAAAACCTAATAAAGTGAAATTTTCATGCCATGGGACCTTTAAAGATGACCATCTGTAAATATCTACACAAAGGCCATAGCAGTGAAATTACATTCATACGGATATTGTATGTATAATATCACACTTTTATTTTGTTCTATTTTAGAACACTTGATTATCTAATCAAAATAACAAAATATGTTAGTCACACACCAGGCAGAAGCGCAGCGCCGCGTCTCTAGGACAACTCACAGGTATCTCTCTCTCACACACACTCACACACACACAAACTCACTCACTCACTCACTCACTCACA